CCGACATAGATACAATGTGTGAAGCCCATTTCTTGTGTCCCCCGCTGTGATATTGCCGGAATATTGCTAAAAGCGGCGTACAGTAAGCTGACACACCGTGATATAACTGGAATATTGTTCAAAGCGGTGTTAAGCCCAACTCACTCACTCACTCACTCACTGTTGGACAAGCCAAGTGATTGTGGGTTCAAATCCCGGTTCACCTTGATTGTTTCTTAGTTTGTCAGCACCTTACCTGTGCTTGTGGGTTTAATTGAAGTGGTAAACATCCAAGACCATATAACTTTCAAAGTGGCGTGAAACCAAACTCACTCACAAACTATTATATCGTTGATGGTTGATGATCACTTCATTGACATCAGGGGGCGGTCGGGTAGCCTAGTGGTTAAAGCGTTCGCTCGTCACGCCGAAGACCCGGGTTCGATTCCCGACATGGGTACAATGTGTGAAGCCCATTTCTGGTGTCCCCCGCCGTGATATTGCTGGAATATTGCTAAAAGCGGCGTAAAATCAAACTCACTCACTCATTGACATCAACCATTTGTTGTCATTGGTGGGTAATCACATTGAGAATTAATTGGTTTAGAGCAGCATAAAACCAAGTACACTCACTATTTCATTGTTGATGGTTGTGAGGAAAACAGTTAGGCCAGACCAAAGTATCATGAGTGAGGTGCACTAAAGACATGGGGTTCGGAACCACTGAGGAATTCAACTCTGTTCAGCAAATTTCAAATTGGGCCATTGTCCCCAGAAAATCTGGCTTGTCCTATTGGCTGAGGACTCTGGGAGCTCCTATTTTGTCAATGGCTTCGGCTCAACCTTTGTAAATAGTTGACAGAATGATTGTCCTTCATGGATGATTACATTGACAATTGGTTTATTATCAGTTGACGTTGGTTGTTCTTAATGGATAACGGTAATCGCTTTGATAGTAACAATTGATTGTTTTTGATGGGTAATTAAAGCTCCTAAGATAAGAATCTTGTGTGAATGGGTTGTCAGTTAAAATATTTTAGAATCTATAAAAAGAGCACAAAAACATTTCTCAAAAATTTCAATCCAAGGTGGTATTTTACTGCAGCTTCAATTTACAATAATTATAGCACTTTCTAGGAGGAAGAAGTTTCATATTTGGCCTACAAAACACGTATTGGTTATATATGTAACTATGATAATTAATTTCTTCTTCACAATATTTTTGGTTTCTTTTTGTGAATCGAAATGACCACAATTGTAAGTACTTCACATATATTTCCACTGTCGAAATCTGCATATGTAGAAGCCATAAATCAAACAGTTACTGGCCCATTTGATTGTTGTCTGCTGTACAAGTCATGTTGTTTAGTTTGACACTAATTGTTAGTTAAGTTATTTAAGCTCACATCTTCACGGCAGGACGGACGTATTACATTGATCTTCAGACAGTGAACGTGACACAGAAACTGGTAAGACCTGTCTCTTATCCTTACATTGTCATTATCTACATCTCTGTCATCAGGGATAGTCTTCAGTTGCTCAGTGATGCAGCTTGGCATTGGATCACCATCAAACTAAACAATTGGTAGGTTCCATCTACTTACTTCCGGCCACGTCCTTCTGGTGCATATTGAACAGGAGTTGGTGTTTACACAGAGTTTGTTTGATCATTTCCACCAATGTTCTCTCTGATGGTGGAAACACATGGGTCATACCCTCGAATCTTGTCCGGTTGAGCACAATTTGTTGTACTTCTGTTTAAAAATACTAAATCAAATGTCATTTATGTCTGATATCTCCGGTCTGGAATATAAGCTGCACACAATCTTCTCAATTCAAGAAACGTTTTCTGATGGTATCTGGGACAACCCCAGACACTTAAACGTAGATGAGAAGGCTTCCGATGACCGGACCATTTGCAAGGTTGACACTTTCCCTTTCTGATGAATGCAGCTGTGTAGTCGCACCCTGTGAAAGTGTGTACAGACGGTAGTACTTGACACATCTTTGCCAACTACAAAAGCTGCTGCAGTATTGTCGATGTAGCGCTTTGTGTTGATGAGGCTGTTTCCTGTATCCATCAGGGGGCACGGGTGGCCCAGTCGTCTAAGGCGCCGCGATTCGCTGTGCAGAATTGCGTCCCTTGGGCACGCCAGAAACCTATGGTTGTGGGTTCGAATCCCGGTTCTCCCCGATTATGTTTCTAGGTTTGTCAGCACCGTACCCGTGCTCGTGGGTTTCACAGAAGCGGTAAATGTTTGAGACCTGCATCACTTCGGGCTTTCCTCCCACATTAAGCTGACACGCCGTGATATAACTGGAATAGTGTTAAAAGCGGCGTTAAATGATGGCCAAGTTGTCCTGAGGTGCTGCAATTCACTGTTCAGGGTTCGAATCCCGGTTCGCCCCGATTTAGCACCATACTGTGTTCGTGGGTTTCACCAAAGTGGTAAATGTCTGAGACCTGCATCACTTTGGGTTTTCCTCCCACATCAAGCTGACACGCTGTGATTTAACTGGAATACTGTTCAAAGCTGCGTTAAACCCAACTCGCTCACTAAATCTGTCTGTTAACAGGCAAGCAATCCTGTAGCTGGGTGAAGTTGTCTAATGGTTGAAACTCAGTCAAGACATTCATCCATCTTGATGTCTGACTTGTAGTCCGGTCTATCCTTGACCCCAAGTGGCAACTGTTGTCTGTGGCAACTTGCCCCTGACTTGTAGTCGGGGTCTATCCTTGACCCCCAGTAGCCACAGTTGTCCATGGTGACTTGCCCTTGACTTGTGCCCCGGTACACAAATGTTGTCCATGGTGTCTTGCCCATGCATCCATCTTGATGTCTGACTTGTAGTCCGGTCTATCCTTGTCCCCCAGTAGCCAGAGTTGTCCATGGTGACTTGCCCTTGACTTGTGCCCCGGTACACAAATGTTGTCCATGGTGTCTTGCCCATGCATCCATCTTGATGTCTGACTTGTAGTCTGATCTGTCATAGTCCCATGGTAGCTGCTGTTGTCCATGGTGACTTGCCCCTGACATTCAGTCTGTTGGACACTGGTGAACCATGGCTTGGGTAGATACCGCTCCTCCTGTACCGTCTTGTACCATTCTGTTACCTTGTTGATCAAGTGTAAGCCCATGGTCTTGTTACCGACGGTTCTCTGGGTTGTTTTTTTTGTTTGTTTAGCGCTGCACTCAGCCATTTTCTAGCTATATAGCGGAGGTCGGTAAATAATCTTTTCTTGACCAGATAATCCAGTGATTGACATTATGAGCATCGATGACATGCATCAACCAAGTCAGAGAGCCTGACCACCCGATCCCGTCAGTAGCCTCTTGCAACAAGCATGGGTTTCTGAAGACCAAGTCTAACCCAGAATCTTCACGGGACGGTTCTCTGGTGACGGTTGTGACACCGGACACTTCCTCATAGAACCCGTGTTATGGTAGCCAACAGTAGCCACTGTATGTGCATGATCCAGCCGGTACCAGGACGGTAAACATTGTCCATGGTCAGACGTCATGCCTCTCTAAGTTGGCTTTGATGGTCAAAAGGACAAACACAAGCTTTGTATCACACACCAACTCCTGTTCAATATGCACCAGAAGGACATGGCCGGAAGTTAGGTTCCATCTACTATCAATTGTTTAGTTTGATACTGAGCAACTGACGGCCAACCCCGATGATTCAGATGTAGATATTGCTGATGTGAGCATCACTGACAGTTCGGACAGTGAAAGTGACAGACATGCATGAAGAAGATCAATGTGGTATGTTTGTTGTGCCTTGATGTGAGCTGGACATACATGTCACTTAGCATCTGGAGAAACTAAAGATAGTGAATAACTTAAATAACAATTTGTGTCACGACTTTTACAGGAGACAACAATCAAATGGGCCAGTAACTGTTTGATTTATGGCTTCTAGATATGCAGATTTCGACAGTGGAAATGTATTTGAAGTACTTTCAATCATGTGGTCATTTCGATTCACAAGAAGAAACTCAAAATATTATGAAGAAGAAATTATCAAAATTACATATATAACCAATACTTGTTTTGTAGGCTAAATAAGATATGAAACTTATAAATCCTTGTAAATTGAAGCTGCAGTAAAATACCACCTTGGATTGAAAATTTTGAGAAATGTTTTCAGTGCCTTTTTTTAAAAAAGGTTCTGGCAGTTGCAAATAAATTCTCTTCCATATAATAGCTTTCTTATTTTTCCAGTGAGTGAATTGATTGCTAGCTTGTAAATTGCTTTTGCGGTCTTTCACCAGCTTTATCACAGCATGGAACCTGTTTCAGCAGTACATCTTGCCTCGATTCACTTGCAAAACAGGACGTGTCAAACCAGCAAGCTTCTCTGGTTTATTTCCCATATTTACAATTTCACAAGCAACACTGTACAAGATGTGATTAAGCACTACCAGTTTTGTTCAACGTCGCACTCAGCTACATGATGGCGGTCTGTCAGTCATTGACATCATGAGTATCGATCCACGCATTTGGGATACAATGACATGCATCAACCAAGTCAGCTAGCCTGACCACCCGATCCGTTAGTCGCCTCGTATGACAAGCAGTCACCTTTTACGGCAAGCATGGGTTGCTGAAGACCTATTCTACCCCGGTTTAATTTTTCCAGTCCCCACCAGTGCCCTATTACGCCACAGAGTCAACTATATTACTGGTAGATACCCCTTAATCAAATTGGGCAATAACTTATTAATGTTTGTTTGTTTGTTTGTTGTTTAACGCCACACTCAGCAATATTCCAGCTACATGACCGCGGTCTGTAAATAATCGAGTCTGGACCAGACAATCCAGTGATTGACATCATGAGAATCGATCCACGCAATTGGGATACGATGACATGCACCGACCACCTGATCCCGTTAGTCGCCTCTTACGGCAAGCATGGGTTGGCTGAAGACATATTCTACCCCGGATCTTCACTGCCAACTTACAAATGAGTAAGTTTAACAGTGATTGAGTGAATGTTTAATGCAAAAGTCGGCAATAACACAGTGCAGTAAACATTGTCAACTCCGTAACAGGCAAACCAGTGATCAGTGGTCTTGACAGAACTTTCCAGGCCTTTCCAAGGTTTCTGGTAGGCCTGGGGGCAACTCTACCGCCTGTAAGGACAAAAGATGCCTGTCAGATGTTTGCCACTATAATGAAACCCATCAACACAATGAGCGCGTTTGGTTTAAGCTGCTTTAAACTATTCAAGAGGTTTAGTGACGACTCCGCAGACACCTTCTGGTGCCGCTCCGTGCAGACGTACTTGGACACTCCATGTGTACCTTTCGAGTGGGCAGACATTTTGGCCTGAAAAAACAAATATTGGTGTTGCATTATGAATCCAATAAAAGTTTGTGTCTCCATTCATATCAGACAAAGCAAACAGTAATCAGCTTGCACATTTGATGTTTAATTCTGATACTTGGGCCTCCCAAAGGAGTTCAAGACAACCTGGAATTTGACACATCCTGTTGGACAGGAATTCGCAGGGACCAGAAGGTTCAACACAACAAGGTTCGACTGAAGTTATTTTTCATGTGTATCAGAGATGATCTAAAACACTCTTTCTTCTATGTTGTTTGCATGGAAACTAGTGTTTGTGTGCATTGGTTATAAAACATAATCCATGTCTTAAAAGTTTCATCATAACGAACTATCAAAGCAATTATCAATAAATATCAAAGGTTCGCCAGAGTGAGTGAGTATGGTTTTACGCAGCTTTTAGCAATATTCCAGCAATATCATGGCGGGGGACACCAGAAATGGGCATCACACATTGTACCCATGTAGGGATTCGAACCCAGGTTTTCGTTGTGACGAGCGAACGCTTTAACCACTAGGCTACCCGACAACCTGGTTCGCTACAGCCTGCATACTGCCAACTGCATGCACTGTAGCCTCGGTTATCCAGAGTATTCTACCTCAATTCTATCATGACCATGGCTTTGTTTTGGAAGTGACATCACCAGCAATCTCTTATCACTAAGCATAAAGTTTCTCTCGCTAAATAATAAGCTTGAAATCATCAACCAAAGAAAATGAAATTAAAGTAGAAATGAAGCTATGGTGGCGGACGGGTCCTGGAAACACAGAACGAAGATATACAGTACACTGGCTTATTGAGGATGTATGCACTGGAGACAAAGAGAAATCTCATTAAAATCAGATCTTACTTCTCGTTATTGCTAAACAAAGATCTGATGACATCCCATTACGGGTCACGTCAGAACAATCTTAATAAAATCAGATCTAAGTTCTCTCTTCGCTAAACAAAGATCTGAGGACATCCCATTACCGGTTACGTCAGAACGACCTTTCCCGAACTTTGACCAACCACAAACGAAAAACAAGAAGTCGATATCAGCCAATGAGAAAGCAGCTTTCTCGAGCTTTAAGGAACTCGTTTCAACCTGGCAACTTCTATTTTAGACTACTTGAAAAATACCTTGACACAGTTCTCCATTAAAATTTTGAAAACTGAACAAACGACTCGTTCGGAATACCCCGTTTTACCGTTTTCGAGGTTGCATGATTAGAAAACACATTCCTACTGTCACTTTCATGATCTGGTAAGCGACGCTTTGATTGGTGGATGAAAGGTCGTTCTTTGTTTAGCGGAAGCGAGAACTTACATCTGATTTTAATGAGATTGAGAGAAACCGGTTACTGTCACATCACCTTGAGATAGTTATTTCAATGATCTGACTTTGACCAACTTCAGAATACTCAGTACAGTCAGCCTTAGAAATTCGTTCTTTTCACTAGTCCTCCGAGTTTGTATTAGTCCTTGAACCAGACAAAACTGTTTACAATGTTTTTATTTTCTCTCCGTTTTATTCAGTTCCAATTAGTAACATTTGTTACAGTATTTGAAGCATCGAGAACTGGTTCAGAATTTTTGCTCTCAAATGCTGCTAGTCTATGAGGACTACCATCATTGCATTTTTACTTGTCCTCCGCACATTGTTTTAGATTCAGGTGGCGCACTGACACGAATTTCGAAGGCTGACAAGATGATAAGAGCCACATGTGGACTGTCACCTTCAGCTTGAGATCCCCCTCACTCCCCTGCCGCCCAGGGTGGGTGATTCCGCCTTCCTCCAGGGTGGGTGTGGCTTGGGAGTGTGCAGCATCCAGACAGGGATGGGGCTGACAGTACAGCAGTCTCCCCTGCAGAAACACAGCATCAGTCAACAGGCACACTGCATCATCTTTTCTTACTAAAATTATAAACCTTCAGTGACCTCTTCCTATTGAGCTGTCACTGTATTTATATCTCATAAAATCACAAACTTGTGCAAGACCTGGGCCACAAAGGCACTGATAAATCACACTGCCCTTAAGAATCTTTTTTCAAGAACATAAAAGTTTCCAAAGGTTCAAAGAAAGTGTTGAAACATGAAATGGTTGATAATATTTCAGTTTTCTTCCAGTGAAGAAGCAAGATAAAACACTTCCCCTCAGGATTTCACAAGATGTACAGTTGCCTGTGGGGCCTAGGATATATTAACATATCATTCAATAACGTAAAACCAACCATTAAAGCCGTACTAACACACACTGACATAATTGTGAACGTTTTAAATATCTTAATTTGCGGTCAAATACCAGCTTCTGGGGTGAGGTGAAATTGGGTTTAACGTCGCGTCCAAGATTATTGCACTTATATAGCGACGTGCATGTACGTGTGTGTGTGTGTGTGTGTGTGTGGCTGCTAGGTACTAGTACCAGCTTCTGAGTAGGTCCAAATAAATCATTGTTATGTTCTCTCGATAAATAATAAGCTTGAAATCATCAACCAAAGAAAATGAAATTAAAGTAGAAATGAAGCTATGGTGGCGGACGGGTCCTGGAAACACAGAACGAAGATATACAGTACACTGGCTTATTGAGGATGTATGCCCTGGAGACAAAGAGAAACCCAATATCATTAAAATCAGATCTTACTTCTCGTTATTGCTAAACAAAGACCTGAGGACATCCCATTACCGGTTACGTCAGAACGACCTTTCCCGAACTTTGACCAACCACAAACGAAAAACAAGAAGTCGATGTCAGCCAATGAGAAAGCAGCTTTCTCGAGCTTTAAGGAACTCGTTTCAACCTGGCGACTTCCATTTCAGACTACTTGAAAAATACCTTGACATCATCCTTCAGGACGTATCTTGATGATCTGGGGGGGGAGGTCTCTGGAGGTCATGTAGCCACGCATTACTGCAAATACAGGTCAACATGTCACAACATTTTCTTTGCAGCTACAAACTTTCAATCTTTGAGTACCCTGTTTTTACCACGGCTCTCAACATTATTCCAGTTATACCATGGCGTGTCAGTTAAATGTGGGAGGAAAGCCTGAAGCGTTTACCGCTTTGGGGAAACAATCGGTGCGAACCGGGATTCGAACCTACCCTCATTGGTTAAGGGTGTACCCAAGGGACGCAATCCTGCACAGCAACTTGCGGTGCCTCAGACGACTGGGCCATCGGTGCCATTGTTCAATCCCCTCACTTAAACCCCAGTGTAGTTCCTTCGTTCTGTCATGCAAAGGCAGAAGCAACCTTGATGCAATTGCTAATAAAACCAGACAAAGGACACGGCAGGTCCAGGGCCCACTTGCACAAAGCGATCTTAGTGCAACGATTATTGTACGCCTATGTTAAAATGTGGGAGTTACGATCATCTTAGCCTAAAGATCTAGATCACATTGTGCAAGTGAGCCCAGGGGCCCGTTCCACTAAGCGATCTTAGCGCTACGATTGTCGTAAGTCTGTGTTAAAGAATAGCAGAGTGGAACAAGTGAAATACCACATACGCCATCTACAGTGGGGTTTCTTGTTCCACCGGCGATAGACATGGTATATAGATTAGCACAGATTTTAAACATTTCTGTGAAACTAAGGTACTGCAAATTGAAAGACATCAAGATTTACCTCAATACGTTTTTCTTATATTTTCATGTATTTCGCCGAATGCCACTTGAAGTATGTTGTTTAACGCCGCACCCAGCAATATTCCAGCTACATGACGGCGACCTGTAAATTATCGAGTATGGACCAGACAATCTAGTGATCGATATTGTGAGCACCGATCCAGTCCATGAGTGTCCAACCAAGTCACTTACAACCAGGAATCCCCACGGAGAACCAAGTGAGTGAGTGAGTTTGGTTTTACGCCGCTTTTAGCAATATTCCAGCAATATCACGGTGGGGGACACCAGACATGGGCTTCACACATTGTACCCATGTCGGGAATCGAACCCGGGTCTTCGGCGTGACGAGCGAACGCTTTAACCACTAAACTACCCGACCGCCCCACGGAGAACCAAGAACCAATGCTATACTGAACAGAGCGGCATAAGTATAGGTACATCCATAGGCGTTGAGAAGTTCATGTGCTGTAGGCCGGATGTTCTGACATCTTCTGCCTGGGGAAGCGGAATGTCATCGCTGTATATAGTCTCCGGTGTCTTGCGTGGGATGCGTTCACAGATATATCAGTGTTAAGGTAAATAACTAAGCAACAGTGTCTTGTTTTGGACCACGTATCATTACAAACCCAACGTTCTTCCACCCTTCCACAAAACAAGCTGACCTAAAAGTGCACGTAGACAAATAGTTGCACTTATCAAAAACAGGTTGCACTGGTGCATGTTTTATATAGCTAAATCGAGCCCCGGTACGAAATTAATTCTAATCTCCCAAACAAGCCATACACCGTCCATAAAAGATATGAGAGAAACTGACGGGAAGACCAGTTCTGGACAGTCACACAACATCAACGTCCGCTCGACAAACAGCGTCTACAACAGGACACAGCCTTGTAATAAGTATGGACACAGCAAACGGATGACATGCTCCATGACAGTTTGCAAGCGTCTGCCAACATCTGCAATTAACATTGTTATGATTATGATTGTTATTATGGGCATGTGAAAAGTGAATGTGTCCTTGCCCTTGGTACAGAAAACTTTCACACTTCCAGTTTTCTTCATGTGTTGTACATGCCATTTTCAGCAATATTCAAGTTTATACAATGGGGGTCTGTAAATAATCGAGTCTGGACCAGACAGTCCAGTGATTGCCATGAGCATCGATCGACGCAACTGGGATACGATGACATGCATCGCTCAAGACAGCGTTTGCCGCCTCTAAGGACAAGCATGGGTTGCTGAAGACCAATTCTTCGCGAGTCCATACAAATTGTACTTAGGCTTTAGATCTCCCAGTATTTGTGATTCAAGATAGCTTGCTTGATGTTCTGAGGAATGTTAATTACTATAAGCCATGGTAGGTAGCCTAAAACGATTATGAAGGTGTGAGTGAGTATGGTTTTACGCCGCCTTTAGCAATATTCTAGCAATATCACGGCGGGGGACACCAGAAATGGGCTTCACACATTGTACCCATGTCGGGAATCGAAACTGGGTCTTCAGCGTGACGAGCGAACGCTTTAACCACGAGGCTACCCGACCGCCCCTATCATCAAGGAAGATCCATTTCCCTGACTGTGTTCGTGTATTTCACATAGTTTTTGACTACATTCTTCAGAATATTAACATGTTTAGCCGTGTATATTTCACCATGAGGATGGAAGGTATTTACAATTGATTTGATAAAGTAAGAAACTAAATTATGCACTTAACTGCACTGGTTTAAATTTCGGCAGTATACTTCATGATCATAAGATGGATTTTCTAAATATCATGAACGGTAATTTAGTAATTTTCAGTTATCTAAATTTGCCTCAGAATTAATGCTTAAAATCTGGAATATATTCCCTAATACGAAGCAGCCTCCATGACAAGAACCACGATTACCATCAATGAAATCAACAAAATCTTATTCGTCTTCTCATGTTGCTCAGAAGGAGAAAATACATCCACAAGCTACGGATAAGCAATGTCATATGACACGATATGTTCCCCCTCATCTGCCCAATGTGATAAAACAAACATTTGGAAAACAGGATTCGTTGGAAGAGTTCCGCCCGTTTCCACTCCTCCAAAACATATATATATATATATGTATGCATTGCCGCTCAATCCTTGTAATTATATATATGTTTGAGGGAGGATCTTTCCTGGATTTGTTCTAAAGTGAAATTAATAATTTTGTAAATCAATGTTTGAAAAATGAAGTAAAGATTTGATCAGAGAGCCATTTACTGTAACTTAGCCTTCATCTGCCATCGATCAAACTTAGTCGCCTTGTACGGCTGGCAATGGCGTGTCGAGAACATACTACCCTACAGAAAACAAGTTAGAAGTGAGTGAGTGAGTATGGTTTTACGCCGCTTTTAGCAATATTCCAGCAATATCACGGCGGGGGACACCAGAAATGGGCTTCACACATTGTGCCCATGTTGGGAATCGAACCCGGGTCTTCGGCGTGACGAGCGAACGCTTTAACCACTAGGCTACCCGACCGCCCCAGAACAAGTTAGAAATAATAATATGTAATGGTTGCATGAATACTACACTGTCGCTCTATACTTTTGTTGAAATTTGAGTAACAAAATAAAATCACACAAACTTCTATTTACAAGTAACATTGCAAGAGAAGAAACATATACCAAAATACAAACAAAATAAAGAAGTAGTTAAAATTATCAAATTTATACTTAATTCAACATTTGAAAAAGGCAGTCCATTTGCTTACACTAGTTTTATGTATTTTCACTAATGCATGCAACATACCATCGACTTTGTTCAAATCATTAAGCCGTGAAAGCTGCGCTGTGCTGAACATATCGACTGATCACCAAACCACGTGTGCGTCCTGAACGTGAGGTGCGCACGTGCAAATCAAGCTTATCACGTTCGGCCACTCTTCTTGCACGACTTGCACGTGTTTTGTATGACATGGCATGTTACATAAAGTCATCGTTGTTGTTGACTGAATTGATTGCAGAAATACATTTAAATATGTTTTCCCCAAAATACTATGATGTTACTTTTTTTTAGTCGGGGTGAATCTTTCCTTGAAATTGCTACTACTCCAGAAAAAGAAATGAGGTATTCTTGTTTGAATGCTTCCTTCACTCCTACCAAACATGCAAGACTTTGAAGTCTCGACGCTTTTTGGCTGATTAAAAAGTTCCCCCGATGATTCTCATTATTTGTGCCAAGATCGAATCCCATACTCATCCTGATTATGACCCTTGGGTTGTTGGAGGTGGTGAAAAATGGTGAACTTCGCGTTCAACATTCACGCACTCATAACACGTGTGTGTGGCTGTTTGTACAAGTCAGACTAATGCCGTGTGTTCAGTGCGAGCCCACTGAGACACCTTGTCCCAGTTTAACATGAATAACCTTCTCAGACAGTTTACTGACTTGGAGCCGACCAGTCTTTTTATCCCCTAAATGCCGAGCGGCAAGCAGGGTATTAAGTCGCGACTGGGAAACGAACCCCGACCCCCTGCTCTCCGGGCAGACGCTCTATCCATTAGACCACAGAGACGGTCTGGTTTGTTAGAACTATTTCCATGATTGTTGGTTTCACCAATATGGTGAAATGAATAAAATAATATTTTGTGTAACAATTTGTAATACCCTCTCCTTACTTTTAATACCATATTTCCCGTCAGAAAAACCAGTTAGTACACAAATATGAATGTGTGCAGGTGAAGTCACGAGTCTCCTGCAGTCTGCTGAGCTCCAGCGGTAACCCTGATTCACGAAAATTCAAACCACACTTGGGTCAAGACCTTCATCGCTTTAGGTCTTTGTCCCTGCATTAAGGGACCACAGCTGTGGTTTAGTGGATAAAGCGTCTGGGGGACGAAACGTTGTGGTTCGGCTGCATCATTCCAAAAGACATGAAAGATGGTACTTGTTGTTACCCTGCCTGGTGCTTGGCATTGAGGGGTTATAACAAAGACTTGCCAGTACACTGTGACCCATGCTTGCCGTAAAAGGCGACTATGCTTGTCGTAAGAGGCGACTAACGGGATCGGGTGGTCAGGCTCGCTGACTTGGTTGATGCATGTCATCGATCCCAGTTGCTTAGATCGATGCTCGTGATGTCAATCACTGGATTGTCTGGTCCAGACTCGATTATTTACAGACCGCCGTCATATAGCTGGTATATTGCTGAGTGCGGCGTTAAACAACAAAGCAACCAACCAAATCCTACAGAGGATGCTGGAAGCGCTCTAACTTAGGATACCTACAAAGGGTTCAGTCTTTTTAAGTGTCCTTGTTCAAGGTTAAAATGGAGTCCAACGAGCTTCTGTAAAAATAGCTTTCATGGATTAACGGCCCAGGCACACATATAAAACACAGGTTGGCAAGACAACTGCCGGTAATGCGTTCCCGATATACTGTTCGTCACAATACTGTACTGCACAATTATTTAGGTATTTCAAGTTATGGATCAGACGTAGCGTTCCATATTGGTACCCAATAGGTGAGACGTAATTTGAGGTATCTACACAGACTCGTCAGCAACGTCAGTCAACAATAATTCAGGTTCGCTGTCTAGGAATAATACCGTATTCGACGTAATAAGCGCCCAGGTCGCTCTCAAAATTAGACATTGGGGGCTCTTATTGGAATATTATTTTGGTGAAAGTTGAAAGTTCGTAAATTCGTGGTTTATGCTGACAACTTGAAATGTTTATATATGACATATATATTTTTCCAGGATTTAATTGCCCATATTTAAGGATGCATATAACACACGAGTGCGTATTATACACGAATAAATAAGTCTTGTGTACATTGATCGGAAGGGGTGCTAATTGAGATTGTTCACTAGCCAATATATCAGCAAATATTAAATAGCTTATTAGAGCGGGGCGCTTATTTCGTCGAATACGGTACTTCTTTGGGAGTAAATGCAGGGTTTGGAAAAGAAAAAGGTTCTGTTTTTTCAGTGAGGGAAATTCAACACCATTAATTTTCCAGTCCAACACTGTGTCAATGTTCGCCAAGTTGATGGTCGTAAACAAGGCATGGTATAAGGGAGGTAACTCTCAAACTACTGTACACAACATCAGCCGGCTCGTCGGTAGAGTGTTCGTCATGACGGTCTCAATACTACGTCAAACAAGTATGGGAACACACACGATATCCATAATATCTCAATGGCTACAAAGACAACCAGGAAACATTGGGTAATTTCAGATACTGTGGCCTTTTATGGATGATACCCAATCAAATGATACCCGTATGATGAACGGAAAGTGTAAGCGGTCATTTTGAGGTGAGGTGAAATTGGTTTAACGTCACGTCCAAGATTATAGCACTTATATAGCGATGTTCATGCATATGTGTGGCTGCTTGAACTAGTTCGGACTAATGCCGATTTTATAGTGAGAGCCTACTGAGATACCATGCCGCAGTTTCGCATGAACACCCCAATCAGACACAGTATACCAAGTCCGAGCTGACCAGTCCTAGTTTTAGCTGCTTAATGCCGAGTACCAGGTAGGGTAACAACAAGTACCATCTTTTGACGTCTTTTGGTGTGATGCGGCCATGGATTGAACCCCGAACCTTCTGCTCTGTGGGCGGACGCTCTACCACTAGACAACAGAGGTGATCGGGGGTCATTTTGAAATCACATGCCATTACACAGTGAATAATGGGTGTGACCACCCTGGTTCCTGACGGAATCTGCACATCGATTTCTCATGGACCTGGCAAGTATCCGTCATGTTTCCTGGGTCATTCTTGCTGAAGGAATCTGCGGGGCTGTTGCAGGTTTGCAGACAGGGGATGAATATCGTGAACACAAAATGTCCCAAACATGTTCAATTGGGTGAGGTGAGGTGAAATGGGGTTTAACGTCGCGTCCAAGATTATTGCGCTCATATAGCGACGTGCATGTATGTTTGTGTGTTTGTGTGGCTGCTTGTACTAGTTCGGACTGATGCCAATTTATAGTGCTAGCTTACTGAGATACCATGTCTCAGTTTAACATGAATATCCCCCTCAGACACAGTATACTGACTCCGAGCCGACCAGTCCTTGTTTTAGCCCCTTAATGCCGAGCGCCAGACAGGGTAACAACAAGTACCATCTTTTAACGTCTTTTGGTATGACGCGGCCGGGGATCGAACCCCGGACCTTCCGCTCTCCGGGTGGACGCATGTTCAATTGGGGCGAGATCAGGGGGAATATGCTGGCCACTGCCTTTTGTGAACGCCCCTCTGAGTGAGAAAGTCGGTGACAACACGTGCACTGCACGATGTGGCCTGGCATTATCATCCTGAAAAATGGCACCAGGTCCAATGTCGTTGTGAGACGGATTCACAAGGGTCCAACAACCTCATCCCTGTGTTGGATACCAGATTGCCATGGATATGATAAAGGGTGCCCTGTGATGCAAACCGATGCCCCCCACACCATGACAGACCCTCCGCCAAACCTGTCACGTTCACAGACCATCGCATCATGGAAACGTTCACCTCGCCTTCTGAACACACTGAAACGGCCATCTTGATACTGCAAACTCAACCCACCATGACCAGCACGGTACCAGGGAAACTGTCGGTTGTAGAATGTGGAGAACACGTCACTTCCTCCTCTTACTAACTAAAACTTCCAGCTTCCAGGGTAACAACCAAGACTCGGCTTTCGTGAACTAAAAAAAGTGATTTCGGGCCACTGCTGCAGATATAGCTGCTGCACATAGCAAGACTGGACAAAACACACTCGTACCGAAAAATCTCGATTGGGGTGTGTGTGTGTGTGTGCAGGTTTTTCAAATGCACTTTCAACACCACAAAAAGATTTCCTAGTTCATCTGAGAGCGTTTCATTTGCCATTGGGGATTTCCACCAATCACCTGCCACCAGATCCATATTTGTCATCTTCTACGACCAGCATTTGCGTTTTAATCCCTTTGGAAATCAACTTTGGCACATATTTGAGAGTGAGTGAGTGAGTGGGTGAGTATGTTTGAGTGGGTTGCTTGAAATTTAACTGTTGATTTGTTTTGGAGTCTTGAGGACTGATCACTGGAACTACATCACTTGTCCTAATCACGAAGGACTTGACCAACATGAACCCAGTAAGCATGTTGATGGTGGCATGCATCCACATGAATTTTAGAAACAAGAAAGTGGCTACGACAAATGAGTGGGTGAGTGAGTGAGTATGGTTTAACGCCGCTTTTAGCAATATTCCAGCAATATCACGGCGGGGGGACACCAGAAATGGGCTTCACACATTGTACCCATGTCGGGATTCGAACCCGGGTCTTCGGCGTGACGAGCGAAAACCCAAAGTGATTGATGCAGGTCTCAGACATTTACCACTTTGGTGAAACCCACAAGCACAGTTTGGTGCTAAACCAGGGCGAACCGGGATTTGAACCCTGAACAGTGAATTGCAGCACCTCAGGACGACTGGGCCACCATTTAACAGACAGATGATGGAGATAAGCTTGCCATGCAATACCTCTTATTCAGGAATCATACTGTGGCATGCTGGGAGATAACCCCTCGTGATGAGTGAGTATGGCTTTACGCCTTTTTTAGCAAAATTCCAGCAATATCAGGGCAAGGGACACCAGAAATGGGCTTCACACATTGTACCGATGTGGGGAATCGAACCCGGGTCTTCGGTGTGACGAGCGAATGCTTTAACCACTAGGCTACCAGACCGTCCCACGTATTTGATACTGATTTTTATATGGTGTTGACGTTTTGGATAGGTGTCAAGGGACCAACTCTACGCTGGAATCCCATCCGGTGAACAAAAATGTGATTGAATCTTGTTTTAGGCCTCATTCAAATATAAAATCTTCTTGAAAAACAACAGACATGTAAGCAAATATTATTCATTTTTTATTCATGATATATTTTGATTTTTCAAAATACACTTTTTTCCACAATCTTCTCTCACATATTAACATATTATTCCAAATATATATATTTATATGTATTTATATGATATTTACAACTTAAACAACCAAAATATACACAGATTAACCTTGGGATGAACTGGAGACATTAGTAAGCTCCCTGTCACCACGCTCATGTGGGACAGAATAAACAAACATACACAGGAATGACACCACACACATCAGTTCAGTCCTCACAACTTCCTCCTTCAGAGATGTACCAGTACACTGTTACAATAATTCCATACATTTACATTTACATTTTCTCTCATTTAAAATAAAGATGCAAAGATAGCATTACCAGCTTCCATTTCCAAATTTGAAGGACACATTACCTGGATGTAACATGCGATATACAGTATCTTAGACGTTGTTCTCAGAGAGGGGCGCTACATCATTCAATTACAGGAACGGTTCTATATATTTTCACTGGAACCTGAAGTTAATTATAAAGGAAATTCTATGTATCTTACGATTAAAAACCCCTCTTTCTCTAAAAGTATGAATCCATCCACCTGACGAAGGGGCAAGAAGAAGCCCTGAAATGTTGTGCATGTATACTAAAGAGGCTGTCCATAATACTCTGTTATCATTATTTCCAATTGCTAAATGCCCATGGAGCTCTCGCCTTATAAACTCTTTTACTTAAAGGCTAAAAAATGAATTGGAACTTAACTCAAGTTTGGATCACGACATACCATTAAACAGAAGAGGTGAATGAAGAAATCTGTCAAAAATTTGAAAAAAAGTAGTCCCACAATGTAAATCCAGAAATGTGAAATAAAAATACAAATAAAGGTTAGTTTTGTTCAGCAACACTTGCGATAATGAAATGAAGGTTGAATGGTGTCAAATAATTCAGATATAAACAGAGCACATGGCATAAACCACAAAAAATATCCATGGAACCAACGTTTTACTGTTGATACTGTAGATGTGGACTGGCTGATGGACTTGGTTTGCGTGCTTGGATGTCACTGGAGCTGAATCAGAGTGACCTTATTGGCCAGGGCCCCGTTCCACAAAGTGATCGTAGCGCTAAGATGATCGTAACTACCATACTTCATCATAGACTTACGACTGTCGCAGCGCTACAATCGCTTTGTGGAACGGGACCCAGGACCCCATTCCACAAAGTGATCGTAGCGCTAAGATGATCGTAACTACCATACTTCAACATAGACTTACGACTGTCGCAGCGCTACTTTTGCTTCATGGAACGGGGCCCTGTAGAATACAGATGTAAGGATGTGTTAAATAGGGTAAGTTACGAATGTTTTTCTTCACAACCAAATGACAAACAAGCACTATGAGGGGAGATAACAGAGAGCTTTCCCTTTTATGTCATATGTTAAGGAATATATTTTATCTACCATGAGAAACTGATAAACATAAAATAACATACAAAGGTATCTACATTCTCCAACAAGGACCGTTCATTTAACATAAGAATGGGGAGTGTCATTGAATAATTTGGGGATGCTAAATATTACTGGGACGTTCGTTGCAAGGAGAGATTTTACTGTTAAAGAATTGGCGCCAGACATTGTAGGGAATCAAGAATGGGTGTCTGGTGTGATGAGTGAACGCTTCTACATCTTGCTTACCCACCAACTCCATAAATGATAAATATTTTACATTTTCATGAAATAAAGTGATTAGGTGTCACAAGTGAGAATGTTTATCACAGCTTCAGCCACATTTCAGCAATATCCTGGCAGGGACAGTGAGGCTGTTTATCTATTATTAGTTGGTTTACAAAATGTTTGGTATAAGATTCATTTTGGTGGTCGAAAAATATTTTTTAATTTTCAGCTTCCAGATTAGCACTGGTGCTAATGAGTGAAAATAAAAACAACTTTTTACATGGCAAGATGTGTATTTCATTTCATCTTATTCTCAAAACTCTTTTCTAATTTCAATTTTTTTGTCAGACTGTCTCATAAACCCTCAAAGATCTTCACACATCATGAATGTTGGGGAATTTAATCCAGGCTTTCAATGTGAACACCAAATTAGGTCAGACGTTGATTGGATACAGATTGTGGGCGGGGTTTGGACTTCACACTCCATGACAGGAAATATTAAATAACCGGTCCCTTTGAATACAGGGTGCCACAAACAAAGGGAACTCAACACACACAAATTATTTAAAACAATGGAATGTGTACTTTTGATTAGACACTGTTATACTGCTACATCACATACATGACATCTAAATGCATTGCTTAGGCCAACATGTAATAATCACTAGCATTGAGCATATGGTATACTTAAGCAGTATGTATGAAATATTATATACGAGATCCTCAGAATGTGGTAGATTTCATTTTCAGTCCAATGGTTCAATCTCTATGATAAAATAATTGCATTTTCAAGCACAATTTAAAAACATTTGGAAACAAACCAATCTTAAAATGACCTGTCAGAAATTTAAAACATCATAAAAACACCTTATTAAAACTTTTGTGTTTATTCTCAACACTAGCTTAAAATCAATATTAGGAACAGCGATAGTTTGAAAACTGCTCCTCCACATTTTATTTACGTTAATCACTTGTCAAATGAAATAATACAACTTGATGAATAAATTAAACCAGTTGTATAACTGTTTTGAAAACAAATGTGCCTACAGCGTCCATGTTGATTATTTTAGTCTCAAATTGATTACAATGTTCTAATCCCAAAGAGACAACACAAAATTCATTTGATATTTTGTATGTTTGATTCAATGAATAAAATACGAAGAGAAAACAGTTTAAAAAGGAATTCATTTGTATTATCCTCTGAGGTAAAATAACCATTTCATTCATTAGTTTTGTAATGGGAAACTCACTGGTTTAATTTCCTCAGATTTGCACTTGTCGTGGAGCTACCATTGCTTTGTGCAAGTGGGACCGGACACTTTTATCAACCAACAGTCAATGGTACCATGGACTGGACAGTCTATATTTGAGACAAAAACAATAACAATGTGGTCTTAAGTTTAACAATATATATACACAGACTTCCTAATAAGGGAATAGAGACTATACACTGAATCCTGGTACTTACAGATGTCACTTTAAACCTGAAGTTAATAAATCACTTTTAATTTGGGGCTTTGATGATACAAGGTTTAGGAGATGATATGTATCAAGAAGATACACAAAAAACGAATGTTCAATGTTATTGGATGTATTTTAAGGCTACAAAATATCTGGGCAACAATTTGGGCAGGGGACACCAAAAATGGGCTCCACACATTGTACCCATGTGGGGATTCTAACCTGGGTCTTCGGCGTGATAAACGAACGCTTTAACCACTAGGCTACCCCACCGCCCGTAAACTTATATGAAATATTAGGTTGGTAGATCAGTGAACCAAATGATTTGAAGATCACTGCCTCAGTGGGCAAACCAGAGACCCCCAATACAGTGGAATCTGTCCGAGACTAATTCGGATCTATCTCTTCTTGAGGTGAAACTATTATTTCAAAGGGAAGAGAATTTATGGATGTCAACTTCTTTATTATGAGGAACATAACGTTTTGGAGTATATGCTTACTCCTTCATCAGGTGAATGAAGGAGTAAGCATATACTCCGAAACATTGTCCCTCATAATAAAGAAGTTGACATCAATAAATGTGTATCACTTCTGAATGCCTTTCAAACACTTACTATTACAAACTTAATTTGACTGTGAGATACAACAGAGATAGCTCATTAACAAGAATTAAATTTTTGTCTAATCTGGACTGCACAGTTTGGTTACACCAGGTTCCACTGTATTATAAACTTCTGGTACCAGATCATGGGATCACAGACTAATACCTTAAAATACAAGTTGGAGTCTGTAAATCTTAAAATTAATGCGTCTCCAAATTAATACGACTGCTGACCCCTAGCCAAAAATGCGACTCAATATCAATGCGACTCCCTCCACCCCATCCCCAGTGGAATGATGCATATCGGTGCGTGTTGGGTCGTGTCGGCCTTTGATGAAGTGTTGCATGGGTGGCGTCTGTCTGGACTGCTGGAGTGGTCAGTGATACCTACTTTGACACGAGTGGGTAGAACTCTTGACCCCAGCAGTGATAACTCACCGGATGCCTATTGTTTAATTTCTATTCTTTGAATGACATTTTATATACTTGTTACAACTACTGTTCAATAACCGTGTTAGTGTTTATATTTAAGTTGGTATTTCCGCTATCCAAAGTGTGCAGTGAGGCCTTTTTATTGTTGATAGTAATTTTCGAGACAAAAATGCGAAGTTTTGCGAACAGAGACCACTCGCATTTTTCACATTTTATTCACGATCGCGTTAATTTCAAGATTTACAGTATTGGACAACATGGAAAACATTTTCTGCTTCACTTGTCTCCTGCGGCCACTGTCAGCTGATAATGGTATCACCAACTCGGGATCTGTATCAGCACAGCTGCCCTATATCAATATATATGATAAAATTAGTTGCAAACAGAATCATTTGATCCATATACATCTTAAAATATTGCTCTAGTCTGTTAAAGTAATTTAAAACACTCAGTAAAATGCTGCATGAACGTAAATCTGAAGAATATGGGAGTATGTAATTTCAGTTATTGGCAGTGACTTCAATCCATTAACATTGAAAGATTTGGCGTCAGTGTAAGCAGTTATGTAAAAATAAAACGTTATCAACCATTGAATTAGAGCATGTGCATGTCAGAAAAACTTAATAATATTGGCTGTCATAAAAAGTCAATATTTTGGCATCTGTGTCATGATATTACAGTTTGTATGAATGATCATTTCATCAATCTGATGACTAAAATATAACTGCTGTTCTTATTCACTGAAACCACAAGAAGCCTTCATGACAGAAAAAGATCATGTCAACCTGACCTAAAGTCATTTTACCAGGGAGAAGGGAGATAATTTCAACGTTCTTGAAGTTACCTCCCTTTGTCCTAAAACTGACATCTTTGAAAGGTCAGAAAGGTAGCGAGTTCACACTGAATATCTACAGCCACATGAGACAAAAGGGTTGTCCAACACATTTATACAATATCACTGTATTAATAATGATGGATACTTGATATATGGTGACCTACATATTGTATAACCCATATTTGACCTATAATAAACACCTTTCACTAAATTACAAGACCCTTTCTCAAAGACATCTCAACCTATACAACATATAGAATTTAAATTTTAAATGATAGGGACACTTTATTCCTAATTCCCCACAATTTTCAGAAAAATATCACAACACGATGTATCTTTTTTTGCTACAAGTTGAGATTTAAATGTATGTAGAAAACTGGTATACTTGTGAATATTTTTTTCTTCAAATTGTACAGATCAATCAAGATTCATCCAAAGAGCATCCTTGGAGAAAACTGAACTCTGAAATGAGCGTTGTATTTTAACAATCAGATGAAGTCTTAAAGTTTTGAATCTCTCTGTCACAGTGGAATCACAACCAAACTCGGCGCTGCATCAATGACAGCCTTAATTACACCAACATTGCACAGATGCTGTGCACGCACCTCATCCTGAACGCCAAAATTGAGCATCTTTGTCAAATGTACCAATCTGTTCGAACATCACATATTCTGGGCTTGATGAAAGAGGAATAAATTCAGGTTTAGAAGGACAGACTGACATCAGTTCCATGAAGTCGAGAGATCACAAATGATACATCGGTTCGTCCACAATTCATCATGATTCTCTGAAAGTGAACTCTTTCCTTTCCTTATATACACTATCACTTGAATCCATGAACACAACATGAAAAAGGAAGGAGACTTCGTCTGATATTTCCTAGTTGTGTTTCGCTCTCTTCCCCTTCATGTAGTCTGTCCACCGATTTGCCGTTGTTTTGAATAACGGATCCCGCTCTATAACACTGAGCTCCAGTAATTGGTTGATATGTGTTGTATGATAATCCCAACGAGCTCGGTTTGGGGCCAGACCTAAAGTAATATGCCGCAAGTCGTAAAACGTTCCCGAGCCTGTATCAAACATACCCAACATGAACTTAAGAGAAGTCAATCCACGTTTATACAAATTATTTGCCATATCGGCAGCTTCACCTGAGGCTGTTTCTTTAAGGTCGTACAGACCAAGAAGTGAATATATGAATCCATTCAACACAAAACTGCTTGGAGTCGTAGGATATTCTTCATACCAGTCGTATTCTCCTGCAAACTTTGCCAACACTCCTCCCTGTTCGCTACTGATTTCAAACAATTTCATTGCATCAATAGCGGCTATTAAATATTTCTGGGCCTTTGTTTTCCAGTATGCTCTTACAAGAAGTGACATTGCTTGACCTTGGGCCATCGCGGAGTACCACCCTGGGGGAAGCTCGAGCAGATTCGGAATGAGTTTACGCCGCACAGCGATTGGCCATCCTCCACGGTCATTCTGATGACTGACCAACCAGTTGGCAGCATCATAGAAATGCTCCAAATGTGCTGATGATGATAACGTCAAATTATCCAGGTGGCCATGACCCCGTATGGTGATCTCCCGAATTTTGGAAAACTGATATTTCATTTTAATTCGTTTTGTTTTGGAATATTTCAATCCAAGGCCCTTCTGAAGGTCTATAGATATATCCCTTGCTATGTGGTGCCATCGTCCTCTTGTGTCCCCGAGGCCGTAGTAGATGTCTTTGCCCTCGCATATGATGAGGGTGTTGCTCAGGACATAGTGCAGGTTGAACACAACAGTACTGAGGGTCTCCACACTCACAGTCAAACTGCCGTTGGTGGAAAATTTCAGGTCGGCTGTTACATACTTGTTCACTTTTTCATCAGCAACAATTCTTATACCCGGGAGCTTGGTGGAATCTGGAATTGTCAAAACAATTAGAAAAGTTAGGTTACTGTTAGCTTACACTGTATCTATGGATGTGTCACATATAAACACACCAGTGAGTCTCTTAGAATATCTTATCTCATCACTTGATATAATTTTGTTTGAAATATTTTTTAGTTTCTACAGAATGTTAAAGGTCTCCAAACAAATGCAGACCAGGGTTCATTCTTAGAAAAAATTAATTCATTGCTTCGAATTCATAATATTTATTCATCCTTTCATGTCAGATTATTACTTAAAACATTTCCACAACGAAATTTAATGGGACTCTCAGCATGAAAGCTGACTAAAGGGAGATAACTCCTCCAGGCTTACCGTGCCCAACTATCCGGTGGTGTATTTGGGCCACTATCATAGCAAGCATTACAGATTTTCCAAATTGTTCAAAATTACTTGGTGTGTCAAAGGATTACAGAAAGTGTACAATTTTATGTGGTTTAGTTCAATAAATATTGATCTGGAGTTGCTGTATTTCAGTCTGAAGATCCCTTTCAATTTTAACATCATACCAAGGACCCCTGGCCACTGAACACTGCAAGTGGTTATTCTTAGGTGAAATGGGATGTAAGGACACATTCAAGATTTTTGTACTTCTATGTGTAGTGTGTGTCTCTGCTTGTAGTGAGAGTGAGTGAGTATGGTTTTACCCCACTTTTAGCAATATTCCAGCAATATCACGGCGGGGGACACCAGAAATGGGCTTCACACATTTTACCCACATTGGGAATCGAACCCAGGTCTTCCCCGTGACGAGCGAACTCTTTAGCCACTAGGCTACCCGACCGCCCCTAAAAGTCCAGACAAATGCAGGTTTTAGAGTGCTAGTGCCACAGTTCAACATGGATATATACCCCGCTCCGAGCTGACCAGTCATTTTCATCCCCTTAATGCCAGGCAGGGTAACAACAGGTACACTCTTTTACAATCTTTTGGTATGAGGGGATCCAACCACCAACCCTCCCATCTCTGGGCGAATGCTCTATCTACTCCACCATGAGGCGGTTACTTCTTTCATGAGGAGCGGTCGGGTAGCCTAGTGGTTAAAGCGTTCGCTCGTCACGCCGAAGACCCAGGTTCGATTCCTGACATGGGACAATGTGTGAAGCCCATTTCTGGTGTCCCCCGCCGTGATATTGCTGGAATATTGCTAAAAGCGGCGTAAAACCATACTCACTCACTCTTTCATGAAGTCAACATACCTGATGTCAAAAATTGTACTACATGTGAGAACTTGGAGGCATCATTCTTCAAAACAGCAAATGACCGCTGTTCTGGGACTATCCAGTCTGCAGGGCTGTCCTCCTCTCCATCCTCCAGGATTATCACATCCGGCTCTCCATCCATCATGTACTTGCTGTGGTGACTCAAGCCATACTGGGCGATCTGTATCGGGTAGTAGTGACCTTCTGGAGTCCACTGTGTGGAGACTGGTACACCTGTGTAACACATAGCAGGTGAGGAGTGGTGCGAGGAGCTTACAGTGACAAAAATACTTAAAGATGTGAGGAGGGACAACACTGTGTGGAGTTGCGGACACCTGTGTAACACATAGCAGGTGAGTAGTGGTGTGAGGAGCTTACAGTGACAAAAATACTTAAAGATGTGAGGAGGGACAACACTGTGTGGAGTTGCGGACACCTGTGTAACACATAGCAGGTGAGTAGTGGTGTGAGGAGCTTACAGTGACAAAAATACTTAAAGATGTGAGGAGGGACAACACTGTGTGGAGTTGCGGACACCTGTGTAACACATAGCAGGTGAGTAGTGGTGTGAGGAGCTTACAGTGACAAAAATACTTAATGATGAGAGGAGGGACAACACTGTGTGGAGTTGCGGACACCTGTGTAACACATAGCAGGTGAGTAGTGGTGTGAGGAGCTTACAGTGACAAAAATACTTAAAGATGTGAGGAGGGACAACACTACTGTGTGGAGTTGCGGACACCTGTGTAACACATAGCAGGTGAGTAGTGGTGTGAGGAGCTTACAGTGACAAAAATACTTAAAGATGTGAGGAGGGACAACACTGTGTGGAGTTGCGGACACCTGTGTAACACATAGCAGGTGAGTAGTGGTGTGAGGAGCTTACAGTGACAAAAATACTTAATGATGAGAGGAGGGACAACACTGTGTGGAGTTGCGGACACCTGTGTAACACCAAGCTCCTTCCCAGCGCGTGACACCTTCGTTACACTCTCGGTAACATCGCTGCCACCAGTGTGGGCGCGGCCATTACAAGAATCTTGAAATTTGCCCTCTAACCCCAAATGTAGTAACGTTGATACTTTTGTTTATGTCTTTGGGAATGCCATCATATTTCATTTTCAAAAGGTGTACGACTGACCATGTTTTCCAGATGAATTTACTTTGTTATTTTAATAATCAGATTGGTTCGAGATTGCAGACTAACGGAAAATCAACCAACTTCTCCCTTACATTCTTACTATATCAATAACACGATAGTTTTAATGAAACAGAAATTCAAATTGACAAACGAAGAAAATAATTTAGCAGCGATAAGTGTATTCGGCGTCACGACAGTCGTCGCTTGTTTGTAAACATAACGGTCATTCGGTTGCGAGTTCAACTCCAAGCATGGTTGTGGCCACCTATTCACAGTGGGGAGTTTTGACTGGTGGCAGCGATAGTATAGAGAGCTCCGCGAACGGGCTATCGCTGTGAGGAGCTTGGTGTAACACATAGCAGGTGAGTAGTGGTGTGAGGAGCTTACAGTGACAAAAATACTTTATGATGAGAGGAGGGACAACACTGTGTGGAGTCTGGGACACCTGTGTAACACATAGCAGGTGAGTAGTGGTGCAAGGAGCTTACAGTGACAAAAATACTTAATGATGAGGGAGGGGACAACACTGTGTGGAGTCTGGGACACCTGTGTAACACATAGCGAAGAGGAGTGGTGCTTACACAGCTTACAGTGACAAAAATACTTAAAAGATGAGAGGATAGATATTTGCCATGAAAAATTAACAAAACATATTACTTAAACCTGTTGGCAAAAAAACTGCCAAAATGTAAAATAAATAAATCAGAATGAAAGTACAATGATTTGCAATTAAAAAAGTTGAAAAAAAGCAATTCTTTCACCTTGTTTACAGTCATAAACATCCAATAAAAAAAAGTAAAGGCAAATATGACTAAGATGACTAAAATGTTTTTTTTTACCTTTATTTTGTAATCAAGTTTTTGTCAAGAAATAAACCCTGACAATGTATTATTTTACTTTTTTTTGCCTACTGACCAGGGAAATCTCAACAACAAGTGACATCCATTATGACATATTTCTTAATTGGTGAGTTTTGAACGTTTTTCAAATGTGGTAAAACATTTGTGTCAATTCCAATCACTTAAGTCTGTTTATACATGAAACAGAATGGCATTTGGATAAATATAAAAACTGTATTAATTTCAATAACTCAAACACTTCAAAGGGATTAAAAAATTCCCAAACAACAGCACATTCCCATGGGGATTATCCTGTGTAAATGTTCAAACAGATTTTTCTAACTAAACCAAACAAACAGCGTGAAAAGATACCTTCGAAGCCACTGATGCATTTTACTCGGTCCCTCTGTTCCACGTTGTAATACTCGAACGACATGAAAATGCCGCTGGGAGAATATTTGGGTCGAGGTTTGTGGATCTTTGAATTCGAATGTTGCCATTCCAGTCGGTCGTAACCGTCTGTGTTGACAATGGAACCATATATCTGCAACACAAATAATAAAGATACATAATAATCACGAAGATAACACATTCTCCAAATAATGCTGACCATTGTAAAATTTACAGAAGTGATCGATATTCCAGCAAATTCCTGGTGGAGAATTCCAGGAATTGGCTTATATCCATGAAGGGAATAGAACCTGGGCCTTTGCCGGGACAAGAAAACCACCCTACTGCCCTGAGTTACAGAAGAATTTTAGAACTAATTTGATTCATGGTTCCAATGTTACCATAACCATAGTAACAGAGTTATTAAATATCTATCTGCAATGTTATATAAAAGTTGAGATCAGTAAATCATTGCACAAACCCTGTAGTAAGTTTTATATACCATATACCGTATAGCCCAGAGTGCTCTCAAAATTAGAAATAGGGGGCTCTTATTGGAATATTATTTTAGTGAAAAAAACAGAGTTGAAAGATAAATATCATGGTTTATGCTGACAGCCTGAAATGTTTATATACGACAGATATATTTTTCCAGAATTTAATTGCCCATAATTAAGTGTGCACATAACACATGAGTGCGTATTATAGGCGAATAAATAAGTCTTGTGTACATTGATCAATCGGAAGGGGTGCTAAATGGGATTGTTCACTGGCCAATATATTAGCAAATATCGCCGAGGGCGCTTATTAGAGCGGGGCGCTTATTACGTCATATAGCATGTTGATCAAAAATATCCAATGTCAATTTATTTTGTTTCAAATTCTATTACATAACAAAGTTGTACATAATTGCACCAGGATGGTGTGAATGAATACAATATTACACCTGCATGTGATATTGTGTTGTTTTGGGAAAATATTTATGCATTCACTTTCTGCAAGTAAACTCCATACATGAAGAAGAAAACTGTTATAGTCAGTCATGTTGGGGATTAATTAATACCCATGTATCCCCCCATGAAGAGAATCAGGTTTGTTTACGACTGCTTTGAATAGTATTTCAGTCATATTACAGCTTAATGCGAGAGATAAGACAACCTAAGAATCACAGATCCCGGCACGACCAAGGGAGGCAACTCTGTACAGTAAATGAAAAGGATTGGTTGAATGGTGAGCTGCAAACCTCAAAGTAGTCCTGGATGAACCGGAAAGGTACATAGACCTCACTTCCCTCCCGGCGACACTTGACGGCATAGTCGTCATTGATGACACAATCAATCTCCTTGTACTTGATGAGGGGCGTGTCCTTGTTTTTGATGGAATTGGTCCCCCGGGGGACGTTCATGTGATCATCGTAGCTCCTCTCGCCTGTAACGTCTTCTCTGTAGAAAATAAACTACCATTCAGCAAAACATATCTGTGTAACCAAAATGAAATGAATTATAGTCCTTCACCACATGATGGAATTTCCAACAATGTTCTATCAGAAAGTTTTCCAGTCTCGATATATCACCAATAGAAAGTAACAATTTATTCCTTGATACTGGATATTTATCAGTACAAATGGAACTACTCACACAATGAAAATGAATAATCATGTTTTGAAGGATCAGAGTTTTTGTGCTCAAGTCCATCTTAAAACACATCAACCAAAACATTGTTGTGTTTGATCACCTCGTGCCTCGTATGATTTCTGGGCCCATTTTGCCAAATATTACAAAATATCAAATCTGTGATTTACTATTCTATGTCGCTACACTGATTGAAATACATGCTATGATATCGTTCAAGTACATAAAAGACCTCAGGCTTGTGAACAATTTCATAGACAGCTTGCAATATTTTGTGTAATTATCAGCAATATTCCTGCTCTGTGTATTGAACCGTCATGAGAAGACAGTGTATTCATACATCGACACTTCAATCCATCACTGACACTCCTGAAATATAAACTGCCTACTTTCTTACCCCCCAGTTTGACAATGAAATATTGTGATGACACAACTGTGTGTATTAAATATTGGCAGTCTGATGAATAATACAGCGAGCTGAAAGAGATCTCCACAACAAGAAGACATGCAATCATTCATTCAAACTTTGGGAGAGGTGGACGAAAAGTTTCAGCATAAATTTCACAAATACTTGTTTCAATAAAATCGCCAAAATATATCTTATATTGGGAAAGTTACAAATACATACCAATTGATTATTGTTTTTTTTTTAGTATCACCACACTGATAGTGAGTGAGTGAGTATGGTTTTACGCCGCTTTTAGCAATATTCCAGCAATATCACGGCGGGGGACACCTAAAATGGGCCACACTAATAGGAAGTGCATCGCAGACATATGGAAATATTACATTGTAAAATGAACTGTTATGTGCAACAAATTCTGGATAGTCACTGTATATGAAGTAGCACATATGCTTCAAATCTGATTCAATATTTTTCCGATATTTAGACAACAGAATAGTGGTAAAGGATGCCAACCATGCCTCTTGAATGCAGAAAATGAATATGAATGATTTGACATTGTACCTGTAGAAGTTGTTATCTTGCCTGTTGATGGTGCACTGACTCCATAGACACACAGACAAGAAGGCAGACGACACGACCAGTGCCGCGAAGAACTTGATGATTCTACTCCTTCGCATCCTCAGATTGCCTCATACGGCCATCTCGCATCTGAAACAAGGAAGACAAAGCATGAGGAATATCGATTACAAAACATTGAAAGATATATTGGAAATACTAAGATCAAAGATCCTCATCAGAATTGACAAAGATATAATATGGGAAACAATGACCATCCACACTGCCCAAATGATGCAGTAAAACGTCGCCAATAATTAATATAACAACATTGGAAATGAGGAATCAGAAACGAATACAAAAACAATGAAAATGTAGGTGTCACCATTATAAAAACACCGGAAATAAAACACAAAACATAAGAATCAACGAGAACCGAAACTTCAACAGCTTTTCTGAAACCATATTCCTTCAAAGGTTAACATTCTATCTTACAGCTGAAAGCAACAGCTTGACTATCTTCACAGACTCAACAATGTTTCTCAACTGTTGAATCTCACGCAAGTATTCCCCTTCAAACTCCTCCAATCTATGGTAGACATCTGTTCCCGTCTGCTGTTCATATCCTTATATGAAGCTGTACCAATCCCATCATCCATTTCCATGCAACCAAAACTACTTTCAAATAATCTACACAACTGTTAAAAAAAGAAAATCGCTCCACATCTCAAGACAATATGCAACCTCAATTTCTCATGCAGATATTCTGTTCAAAGCTAAAACTCATAAATTTCAAATTTATGAACTGACTCCAAGTTCCCACATTTAGCAAGGCAGATATTAATCATCTCCAGCCCAGATGCACCTAAACCTTCCCAGGCGTAATGACGAAGCAGGTAGTATCTATGTTGTAGCCACCTTCGCCATTATGACGTAACACACCTGTCAACACTGATCTCATTAACCTGCAAACATTATACATAATATCCTGCCAAGACTTTACCCAAACCTGGTAAAACTGTCTACACCTGCGAGAAATATCACAAATAGCTTTCTTTAGACAAACATTCCAAATTTATCTGGACGTTTGGCGATTTTCTTCTTAAGTTGCCAAAGAGCCTTGGGGTACGATATTAATAAATAATTCATTTTCTTAAGTGACACATAAGAGGAATAAGTTCCCAAAATGGCTGTTGTGGTTGATTAAATGATATTTTGCTGAATGACAAGCGTGGGAGGCAAGTAGTCGCATTAATTGAAAAGTAAATTTGACATTCGGATAGATTGCCAATAACATCCATTACAGTTTACACTGTGTATCATGGCTGAACGGAAACTCCAGAACTCTCATCACAAAAAAGATCCGTTAAAAATAAACTGAAGCACTATAAAGATTAGAAAATATCCAATGATATTAGTTTCATAAATGATCAAAAATATTTTATCAATATTCCTTATCTCCTTCAGAATAAAATCGATTTGAGATGACATAATCGGGACTATTTTTGTAGGGTGTTGTTCACAGGGTTTCATTCTGTTTGCGAATGTATTTCGGGAGCAGAGAATAGGCTGGCTGTATTAACATTATACATTTGGTGTAGAATATTCTAAACAGAAAACTGGATTGGTCATCAGGCAAACATCGATTTTCAGACCTTTCCAGTACAAATATGTTCAGAAAAGTACAAAACAATATGTTGGTAGTGTGGATATTTTAAAGTAAGTTCTTGTTTATGCATTGTGAAAGGGTAAAATAATCATGGTCAGATTCAATTATTCTTGTGTCACTTCTGTCACTTGTGTCGGTGTTATGGATAATGGAATCTGTCAGCACCAGAACAAACACACAGTTGCCGATGTTAATTTATCATCAGCTAAAATAGGACCTCTTCTAGACTTTCTTCACTCAGGTTTTCAGACTGAAATTGTCATTTTTGATGTTGCACTTTTTCATAAACTTGTAAAAATTATCCAGTCCTCCCAGCCTTAACTTCAGGCTTTATCTACTGAATCATCATTCATTATCATCATCATCATCATCATCATCATCATCATCATCATCAGTATCATCATCATCATCATCATCATCATCATCAGTATCAGCAGCAGCAGCAGCAGCAGCACAGAGGACCGTCATAACTTCTTATAAATCAGAGTGCAGAAGGTTGATGGTTTGATCCCCTGGTTGTATCATACCAAAAGATGATAAAAGATAGCACTTGTTGTTACCCTGCCCGGAACACAGCACTAAGGAGATTAAACAAGGTCTGGTCAGCTCGGAGTCAGCATAATGTGTCTGAACAGCTGTAGATACTAACATTTTTAGTCCACTAAATAACATATAGCATAACACTGAAAAAAGGAAATTTCTACTAGTTCTCATGATATCTTCACCATTGGGCAGTTTGGCAAGGACTACAGGACTAGAGTCAAATTTCTAATGCTGCTGAATCAGGTATCCATGTTAAACTGTGGTATGGTATCTCAGTGGGCTAGCACTATATAAAAAAACATGGCATAAATCCTGACCAATACCAGCAAGTGCTCATTCACGTTGCTACATAAGTGCAATTAGTTTGAAGGCAACGTTAAACCACATTTCACCTAACCTATAAATGGAAGTCAAAGAGTGAGTTGAGTTCACCGATTTTAAACAACATTTTAGCCATATGAGGTATCTCTGGAGGAAGCCTCAAGCAGGCAGACATTTTCCACTTGGATGAAATAATTAGTATTGGAATGGTGCTGACAAACAAAGAACCATATTCAATACCAGTCTAGAATTTGAAACCATCATCCTCGATCCTGACACTGAATGATCTGTAAAGCTAATCGCAGCACCTTAGACAATTGGTCTATACAACCCTTAAATAGGTGATAATTGACACTGATTGGATCATTATCACAGCAACAGCAATAAGTACATTCCCATGAACTTCACACCGAATTCAATAACACGCATGAAAATATAGATAAAAAACTAACCAACAGAACCAACCTTTTCCTGCACAATCGCTCAAGGCACTACAACAAATTTTGTCTTTTACAAGCAGAAGAAATGTTCATACAAACTGAACACAAAACTACACCAACAGGCTCGGACCGAGCTTTTTGACACAATGAATGATGCCTTCATACTGTCTGAACTCGCTGGCTCCAGTTGACTCCAGGACTGACTCCATATCATGCTGACATCCCCATGTATGTACCTTCCAGCAAACCCTAGGCAAGACAATATCCACTTTTTCACCAATTCAACAGCGTTATTCCTTGTCATGCAGAGAAAACATTTTTATGGCGAGATATCTGTAAATACTTTATGGCCAAGTTTGAGTGTAGGGTACAGACCCCTTTGGCTGTGGAAATGAAACAATTCATAAAAACATAAATCACTAAAGTTGGTTTCATGTCATGTTTTGTTTGTTTCATAGTTCTGGAATAACTTGTATTGAAAACAGCCCCAGGGCTTTTGAATATGACATATTTTCTAACATGTGTATGAAGAGAATTTTTTGTGAGAGAATTGTGTTCAAAAATGGCAAGTTTACTTCAGAAAAGTAAACACGCTAAAACTTTTGAAAACACATCTGTTTTAACTTATACCTTGAAATGTTGCAAAAAATATAACTTTCATACAAATCAGACAGCTTTTAGTTTGAATTTCACTCTTGTATGGAGATTAATTACCCTTAAAAATCCTTTTTAAGTGAAAATGATTTTTTATGCAGCAATGAAAAATATTCCAGCTGAATAATCGAGCACGATCCAGGACACCAATTTGTTTACAGCATGAGCAACAATCAGAGCTACAAGGTGCAATGACACAAAATCCAAGGCAAACATTTGACCACCAAATTTGGTACATTTAAACTGACATTACAGCAGATTGAATACACACTGGGTTATTCATCAATAATAAAACAGGAAGTGATTCCATGGCATTTGATTGGTTCACCAAGCAATCTTTTTTGCGTTTATGTTTCCATAAACTAAAAAGAATTTAGGCCACGCCCTCTAACAGACTACAGTTCCCTGATTGGCCAACAACAGAATGAACAATGTCAACATTGTCTTTGTGTTAATTGACTAGTCTGTGAAGTTGTTATTGTTGACATGATTGTTTGTAAAAATTAATTTCAATATGTTTTTGCATTTATGGAGCTATAAATACAACAAATGGTGTACACACTATGCACATCTGTTTTTACATTTATACCTCCATAAATGCAGTGAATTCTTAATCCCAATCTGGCTTCCACCATCTCTCTGCCCCTGAAGATAGTTAGCTGTGCTTTTCCCACGGAACACTGTTGACTACTGATAGCAACACTGAAAACGTTGGACGATTGATTGTGGATAATGTATAGGTGAGGTGAGGTGAAATTGGGTTAAACGTCACGTCAAAGATTATTGCACTTACATAGCGTCGTGCATGCACGTGTGTGTGTGTGTGTGTGTGTGTGTGTGTGTGTGTGTGTGTGTGTGTGTGGCTGCTTGTACTAGTCCGGACTGATGCCAATTTATAGTGCTAGCTTACTGAGATACCATGCCGCAGTTTAACATGAATACCCCACTCAGACACAGTATATTGACTCCGAGCCAACCAGTCCTTGTTTTAACCCCTTAATGCCGAGCGCCAGACAGGGTAACAATAAGTACCATCTTTTAACGTCATTTGGTATGACGAGGCTTGGGATCGAACTCCAGGCCTTCCGATCTCCGGGCGGATGCTCTACCCCTAGACCCCGGAGGCGGTTAGATAATATATAGAATGTTACCTTTGTTTCTTTTGATATCAAATACATTAACCCTCACCAGAGGTGTAAACTTTTATCAACTTGTGTGATATTAGAAGACACACAGGTGAGATTGTCTAAGTATAAACCTTCACGTTACAAGAAATGAATGCAGATCTGTTGAAAACCATGAGGCAATGCTAAGAATTGAATTTTTTATTGATTACTTCACCTCTGCACCAGCCTAGCATAAGGCCCAGCATAAGGCCTAGCATAAGGCCCAGCATAAGGCCAACATAAGGCTCAGCATAAGGCCCAGCAAGGGAAAGGGAAAAGATAATTTCTTTAAACAGACAACCCCCATAAATCAACCTTTTTACATCAGAAAAGAAGAATATTTGTATGACATTTTTAAAC